GTTCCTCCCAATCACGCCCCTCCAGGTCTCGCTGTCGTAAAACAATAAAAAACAGACTAGGAAAAAATGGCATCTGTGGAAGAGAAGGACACAATTACGAATGACCAAAAAGAACAAATTCTCTTCTCGCATTTGACAAAAAAACTCTTCATGATTCCCAAGATGTGAAAATATTCTGTGAACTGATGAGACAAAAGTTTTGGAAAGTTTGCAGAATATCTTCCAAGAGAATGTCTGGCCATTCATTTGTGTCCTTAAGCTCAAACACATTTGGGTTATGCAGCAGAACAATTACCCAAAACACACCAGCAAGTCTAAATGGCTCAGACAAATAAAATGAAGGTTTTAGAGTAGCCTAATCAAAGTTTCACAGGAAATCCAGTCCTTTCTAAGCTCCAGCCTTTTGTTAATGTATTAAATTTATTTTGCACTAGAAAAATTCTACACACACCTCATAATGACGAAGTGAAAAACGTTTGGTTGAACTTCTTGCACATTTAATTTTTGAGTTGAAGAGACATCCGACACACGATCAGTGGAAACAGGATCTTATATACACATTACATTTTTGGTTTTTATTTTTAATACATTTGTAAGAATTTAAAATGAATGCAATCTATTTTGGACTAAGGCTGTAACAAAACAGAATGTGGAACAAGTAAAGATGCAGATGCCCTGTATATTCAGGTTTCTACTGAACGTAACATAGTCACAGTCCACTGACTCATGTTTTATAGAGGATGCTGTTTATCAAATTTAACTCCTCTGAACATTACCATTCTTGCCTTGTACTGAAGAAATCATTAACGGCCTTCACTCTTTAATATTATCCCATATTTCTCCTTTTCTGGTACCTGCTGTTGTAACTTGTGTTATCACTCACCAAAACAGCTTGGACTTTCTTGAATGAATCTCCAGCATGTGATTAATTGGTTTTGCTCTCACCTTTATACTTCTTTAATTTTCCTCTCCCTTCATTTTAATCTTTTCAATTCCATTTACTCCATTCAGTCAATTTTAACTAATGAGAAAAACCAACTAATATAGATCAAACATTTTAGATATGTCTCTACAGGTGATCCAGTCATCATCGGAGACATGTCAAATCAAGAACATGAGCCAAAGTAGAACCAAATATGCTAAAATGACTCCTATGATAAAACATCCTAGTGCAGATAAGGATGTTTTATCATAGGTGAGTGCGTTATAATGAAAGTAGTCTACAGCGAGTCAGAAGTGGATGTTTTACTGCTTTCTGCTATACACGTGTAAGGATAATTGAGTTCTTGTACCTACAAGACCCAATGTTAATATTAAATGAGCTTGAAAGTTGTACAGTTGTTGCTTATCAGCACAGACTGACTCAGACTAATTGCAACATGCTGGCAATCTGTCTGCATTTATAAATCAAACATTAGTTGCAAAACTTTGTAAGTCTGTCTGAGAGCGATTGCAGTCAGTCCCAGTTAGGCAACCTGTGCAATCATCTTACAATCAAAAACACTTTTCCCGAGGTTTGTGGTCTTACACGTTAAACCTGTGGGCGACCAGTTGGTGCAACTACCAAGCTACCAATGCAAAAACATTCAGAGCAGTTAATGGATAACCAGCAACTTTTCTTAGTTTCATGGAGGCTATCATCCTGTTTTTACCCGTGTGTGACTCAACCATAAAACAATATTACAGGATTTTTTGAAAAGTTTTAAAGATTTGACTGAATGACTTGATTTTTTTTTACTGCCATAAACATTTTGGTAATAGTGCAGCTTAAACTCAGCAGTCACATTTCCACTTATGCTATAATGTAATTAGTCTAAAGATACGTCAAGTTTCATTAAACTAATTCATGAAGTATCACCTGAAATATGCCATCTGACAGACAGACAGATGGATGAACGTGGATGGATTAAAGATGAGAAAGATAAAGAGAGAGAGCGTTAGCATTGTGTAATTGAGGTGCAAAAAACCATCAGACAGTAGCTAATGCGGTTTTGGAACGGCCAAGAGTCATTGGTCTCTCTGCCTGTCTGTGTCTTTTGTTGATAACTTCCAGGCTTGATAATCTGATGGAAAGTCTGCAATTCCCTCTTGTGTCTTCAGTCAGGCAGAACGGCAGGCTAATTGACTGATAGAGATTAACTAAGGCCCCATTAAGTCATCATTTGCACTTTTTGCCCCTCCCACAGCAGGAAATGAAGATGTATGGGAGACGTATTTTACACCATGGATAATAGTTGCTGGAGATTTATTATTAAAAAAATGACCCACACGTACGTTTGGACAGGAATGGGGGAAGAAAAAGAAGATTTTATCGTTTTAAAGACAGATATTGTGGATTTGGGTTCTTACCTGCAGTTTGACCTTCACAGCATCAATGGTCATAACTTTATTCTGAAAGACAAAAGAGAAAAATGATAAATGCTAAAACACAGCTGTAGACAGAAAGCCAGGTAACAAGAGAAAGGGGAAAAAAGTCAAACAGTGATAAGAACTTTTGCTACAAGCGCATAGAAAAAGAATACAGAGGCATCAGAGTGAGACTAAATGATGCTTTCAGGTACTGCTGAAGGAATTTGTTTGATTCCCAGAAGAAGAGCTTAGAAAGTAAGACAAGCTATGCATGCAGAGGCTGATGTATTACAGTCGGCTTATTGTGACCACAGTTGTTGTAATAAGGGCTTGGCCTCTGCCGTAAGGCTCTCTTTTATCACTGTGATATTGCCAGCACACTGTACTATCTATAGCTCTATGCGTGTACACCTTTTGTTATGATGAAGCCTTTTGTTTCAGGGAGTTGCATCATTTACCTGCATGACAACTGTCAAAGCACATACGCAAACACACATTCGAAGGCGTCTCAGTACTTCTGCCATGTCACGTTATGCGGAAAGTGTTAATGGTCAGTGATGACAGCCACTCCTGCATTATGTTCTGCAGTTCTTTTAGTGTAAACAGGGAACTTTTCCATCAATGCAGGGAGTGTGATAATACTGGCAATGCACACACCTATTTGGTTGGGACACAACAGGAATCTCAGCAACCGTTTCCACTCTTTCAAGCAGATACAGGTAAAAAAAAAATACATCAGGGAAGCCAATTTCCACTTGGTTCAAACCCCTTAAAAACCTGTTTTGCTCTGCATTTTTATAATGTCTTGCCACCCCAGTGCAAATATGATCTTTGACACATCACCGTCCACTTTGTACTTGATGGGATGTCGCTGCAACACATGAGCTTTGATGTTGTTCTCCTTCGCTCTAGTCTTGGCAGTTGCTTGCCCTACACCCAAACGCTGAGGGTACAGGGACTCCATAAACTATTCCTTTGTTGATGAGCCCAAATAATTTGGTATTCTGTGGCATGCTTTGTGCTCTCTGTGGGGTGAAACCACCAAGAGTTCTGCAGCTGGATAAGCAGTATCAGTTGCTTTGTAGCAAAAACAAAAATCCAACAAAAACAAGTGCTTTCTGAAAGGAAAGATGATGGGTATAAAAACTTTGAGTTCTTTCTAGTTCGTAGAGTTGTCACAAGGGAAATAAACTCAGGAGCAAAAATGGGCAGAATTAATGATGTTTATTGGCTTGCTCAAGGTCAATATTGGAAACCAGACATGCCTGTAGAAACATATCCTGCCTACTAAAGTTCGTCTTTAAATAACACTACTAATATGTACCAGGAAATAAGTGGCAGTTTTGCTCAAATGAAAATATGACGAAGATGCTTCAGATACTCCAGATTTCTAAATACATCCAATCTAAAACCTTGCTGGAGATGTGAATAAAACCAAAGCCTCCGGTCTAATTTTATATTCCATAGGTCTGGCACTTATGGACTGATGTAAGACAATCAATATGTCTGAACAAGAAGTTTCAAATCTTTGCAAACGACCTACTTTTGGCTCAATGCCGAACTCTGGGATTCTAACTGTCTTCTTGAGAAAAGAATTATTTTGGCTCTTGCGACAGCTTAATGTACACTGCTGAAACACTGGAAGAAGCAACGTCTGGACCTTTAAAAACAATCTACAAAACAGTGCAGTTGTACATTTCTTGAAAAGGCTTAGTCAATACATTGTTGTGTGAGGTCTTTCACAAACTCTTCTCTGTCTCTTCTATAACTTAGTCATTCTATATTTCAGTGTACAAAGGTGCCTATTCTTAGAGCAAATGTGTCCCTGCAAAAGTGCAACAACATTAAGCTTTCATATTTTGCATATTTATTTTTGATTGATTCATTTGTACCTTATCACATTTCATAATAAAAATAGCACCTTCTCAGAAACTGTTGTAAGTTGCAGGTCAAGTCATGGTTACCCACAGAAAGATGCCAATTTACTGCAGAAAGCAGGCTTACTAACACTTAAAGAATCAGCTGGAAGCTGTATACCAGTGGCTGTAAACAGATAAAAATTTCTACAGACCTTCTAGACCTTCTACAAAACTATGTTCAATGATTTTATAGTATGTATTGTATGTAGTAGCCTCCAGCAGTGAGTCCATGGTGAAACCTGCATTTTTAAAAATAACCATATATCTATTTAGTTTAAAGTCTTACGAAATATGGTATGATAATTTGTATTCAATTTCAATTTAGATTAATATAGATGATAGATTAGTGTGTGAATTAGGGTTTTGCTGAGTTATGAATGATAAATAAGTGTCTTCTCTTTCATAGTCAGAGCCCCTCAAGTTCAGTTTCCAAAAACTCAACATTAAACAGTCAACAGAAGGAAAACAATGCAGTATTATAAAAAAAGGATACACAATGTAAAGATATAGTACATGATATACAGTTCTTAACCACAGCTGTTCATGTTTATCATTGCACAGATAATTTTTCTATTAAAGTTTTAAAACATCAAGAGGTGAACCTATACATGTTTTATAAGTCTTTGTCCAATTCCAAACTAGCTAGCCTATGTAGTAAGCTAGCTAGCCAGCCACTAGAAGCTAACTGAATAGCTCGCTTATCATAAACTGAATTTCTAACCACCTCGTGTTGCCTAGTTATGTACTTGTGGGTAGCTAAACTGTAGGTTGTTAACTAGTTAGCTATCTACAGCTGATAAACAGCAGATCTTATTTCAAACAAATGTTGATAGCAGAAAAAAATAAGAAGCCTGATTAACCCCAGTCTGAAATCAAAGACTTGTCAAAAATAATTAAGACTTTTTAAAAGGAAATGTCTCATTTTTTTTACTGTATAATCGATATTTGCAAAATGACATTAACAAAAACAACAACAACCACACAAAGAACTATGTCAAAAAAATATGAGTATGATGCAAAAATTTTACTGAATATTTCTGCAAGCCTGCCCTTCAGCATAGAAACATAAACTTTTTCTAAGGGTTCTGCAAACCCACAGGTTGTAGCATGTACTGTAAATCTGTTGACCTTTCCATTTCCATTTTGATGGATGGATGTGTGTGAATGTTTAAGAGCCAACACATGAGCAGGAGGCACAAAGGACAACCTAGCTTTTTGCTTTCAGCAGCCAGGACCACTCTAAGAAAAATGAAAAAATTGAACAGGTTAGTTTGACCAAAAGTGAAAAAAACAACATCAGAATCACAGTCAGAGACCTAAAGAGGAATCTTTTGAGTCACAAGTGAAACAAGAAAGGAACTGCTGAATTGTGTGATCTGCTGCTCCACTTTTAGCTGCTGAAAAATTGAAGTTATGATTGCTTTCCACCTGCGGATGAAAAAGCCCTTTTCACTGAGGTGGCATCTCCTGACTCTCAATCACAACTAACAACTGTGGGCAGACTGCCACATCAGACAGCAAGGAAACTGATTTTTAAGGAAAGAAAGCTGCAAAATACAAGAGGGCCAGTGGTTTCATAAGTTAAAGCATATACCTAAGTAACACACACAAAATCAATGCTCCTAATAGAACCTAATATTTTCTGAGTAGGTCAAAGCTGATTAGTGAATTCGTCTGAGAGCCACAAATCACAGGCTGGCATGTGTGTAGGCAGTCGCATCCACGGGGCATAAATGAATATAAGCTAATTACAAGAGCAAATAATGCATAAATATTTGGTCACTCTACTTAATGTTGCATAACTAACTTTTAATTTGCATACTGATCTCTGCTTTGCAGTTAAACTGTAGACACAGAAACTGTGTTTTGGGGTTTGAAGCCTTGAGCAATTGACCCATTCACTAACAGTATTCTTCCCCTCATTCTTAATGCATTTCATCCATATTACATGGGATATTGTGAGTTGGAGTTAGTTTACTTTACAAATGGAAACCACTTACTAGCTCCTACGCCTCATTTTGACTGCATTAAAGGGCATTTATGCCTGGAAAGAATAGTTGCTCAAGGGCAGCCTCTGGAAGCAAACAGTGAGGTTATGGAATGCAGAACTGTTTATGCACACAGAAGCTTCTTCCAGTGCTGAATTGTTCTAGCAAAATATAGCAGCTTGTAACTAATAACTGATCTAATTCATTGTCAGTGGCTGCAAATAAGCACAATGATATTTGAGTGTTTTGTTACAAAGATACCATCACTTCCTGTCTGAAATGTGTGTAGAGGTTTTTAGATCACTCAAAACTAAAACCAAAGCCATCAGAGTAGTATTGACATATGGGGCATAACCTGTTCAGTTTTTCTATAAGCCGAAATAGAGCTAGCATCTAGCAGGAATCACATGTTCGTGCATATTCCTGGTGGATTATTTTGGGACATGAAAGCTGTATTACTACTGGTTAAGTTGTCATGGTAAATTGTAAACGGACTGGTTCTCATATAGTGCTCTTCTACTTTACTTGAGCACTCAAGGTGCTTTCATACACATTCATATAAGCACTTTTTCACCTAAGTGCTTTCTATCGAATATTCACACGCATTCACATCCCAACACCAACTTGGGATTTAGTATCTTGCCCAAGTATATTCTGGCATGCAGAATGGAGAATCAAGGGATTTAACCACCAACATTCCAATTAGCAGATGACCAGCTGAGCTATAGAAGAACCCAAAGAAAAGGACTGCACGAGATTTAAAAAAAAAAGAAATTGCTACATTAACTTTCCAGTTGTTAGACAAACTCACACCCATCTGTGTGGTGTTTTGCTTTAAAACCCTTCTTACAGTTCAGTTCATTTACTGAACTTACCACAACTTATTGCAAATCTGTTTTAGATCCCAACACTGACTTAGTGGTGCAAAGGCAGATGCTTAGATTCCCCACCACCAAAACACTATATGGTCATGACCAAAGGTCAAAAACTAGAACATGAATACTTTTTAGCAACAAGGCTGGGATACAGGAACTCACACTGCAATACAAACAGATCCACACAACACCGCACATCTGACTGGCTCAAAAAACAACTCAATATGTCCATGTCACTATCTGACAGGCTCAATGTGTCC